TTGCCAGGAGCAAGACGGAAGAGTCACTGGATGAGACCCTCCGAGCATTTATTTTCGCGCGAATCGACTCGACCGATTCCAGTAAAAATAAATGACCGTAAGAGGACCTTGTTTGAGAGTCAATTTTTGAATTCCAAAGAACGCGAGAAATTCTAGACTAGAATACCCCCTCGATTCACCCGTGTACGATTCTGACCCAAACCTTGCCTAAAGAAATTCCAGCGTTAAAAGGGGACACGCAACGAAATATAGAAAAAAAAAAAAGAAATCCACACCCCCTGGTCGGGAGACAGAATGATCAACCGCTTCTCGCAATATCTCTCGCACAGCCACGGGAATTTCTCAAACATTGTCCCGTCGATTCCCTCTGACAATGGTATTTCCATTCCGGCGGCCGACAAACGTTCGATCTACCTCGGCCCCATCGATCCCGGGGGCCTCGCGGAGGGAATCGCATCCCCAAAAAGGGCTAGCCCTCCGCCAGGAGGGGAGAAACGAGTCGACAGGAAAGGTCGCGATCGAACGGAAAGCGAACTTCGAACGCGAATTTCGTACAAGACTCTGCTCTCAGGTTGGGTCGCCGGGGTCGGGGATGACGCTCGTCTGGGGTCCCGATAACGCGCGCTTTTAACTTTTAATCGATGCGTCCCCGCCGGGGTAGGATTCCCCGACGAGGATTCACGACGCTCGCGGCTTTATCGCGGTGACTCCATCGTATTTTATCGTCGCCGATTGTTCCCTCCGTCCGAGCGTCCCGCGTCCGATGCCGGTAGTTTTTGTCTCGTCGGGGATACTTCTTTCTTCGCTGGGTTTCTTCTGACCGCCTCTTACATGGGAAGGGCCCAACTCTGTCCCCCTACCCTTCGATTTTAACATGCTTTCTCAGGGCATCGTGTACAGGGAACGCTAAACCGTAGACCAGGGACGTTCGGTAATTTAAAAAAAAATCTGACGACTATTTTTTCCTTTGACGTCTGAGTATTTTCGAAGAGCTTTAAATAAGAGGCGCGTCTCCTCTGTGAGGTATTAACGACGATTATCGTTCCCATCATCGCGTAAGTTTCACATAACGAAACGTCGCCGCAACATTCTCATCCTCCGGGTCGCGGGCATTATGCGGGAATTATCTACTTACTCCAGAATGCGAGTGCACGTTCCACGGTAAATGCCGCGCGGCTTTTTCCGCGCTGGCTCTTTCTCGCTTTCTCTAGTCGCCAACGAGCAGCCGCGACACGGGAATTAAAGATAAGTAATTACCGGTGGCGCAAGTAAGGGAAGTTATTTCTTCCGTGGCCAACGAGCGTTGGACGTTCTCGAACTTCGCCGCGAACGATTTCACGCTCTGCGATTCGTTCGCCGTGGCTGGGCCAATCGCGTTTCCCTTCGAGGACACACGACGCCGAGCGTCGAAATCGCTGGGAGCGAACGATGCAATTATTCAACCAAAAATTCAATCTTCGTATCTCGGGAAACTCGCGAATAAAAAATAATACAATTTTACCGAGATATTTGCTTGGACATTTATGGAATACGAAATAGGGAATCGACTGTGATATCGAAATGGAATTTAGCGTAAATAAAATGGATCGTTGAAAAAGTTGGAACGATGAAGAGAAAATCATATAATTCAAGTTAATTAACGTGGCTGTCTCCGTGGATCCGGGGGTCGATCTCCGCTTTTCGGCGTGCATCAAACTTGCAGGTAGACGTCACTTATACGTGACGGGAATAACTTCTTTCCGCTCTGTCGTTTTAGCACCGTAGACGACGCGTCGAAGCATTTGGCAAGATTACATATGAACCTCACGTATCCATCTCCGGTCGTAAAAGGAGACAGGACGGAGCTTCTACTCAGTCACACTATTAATTAACAAAAACTTGAATCACTATATAAATACCGTTCCTTAAATTCCAATACTGGCGACTTTACGCCGAGTCTCAGAAAATTCTCGATTCCTCTTAACTTCGTATTTTCAAATTCAATGTGTCGGGAAATTTTCCTTAACCCTTAAGTGGACTCTCAATCTCCACTGAATTATTTTACTTAATGTTGATTTTTACCAAATTGGTAAATGGAAATCAGCTTTGAAGCATTTAAAAAATAATGAATTAATGAAGAAGTATATAAATTTTCATACAATTGCATTGACAATAATCCACTTAAGGGTTGACGCGTTGCTCGTTGAACCAATAATAAAATCAGAATAAACGAGCTTTTATTCTGAATAGAAGTACCAGTTTCGATCAGAACTGTTCGAAACAATTATTTTCGGAACCTTTTTAAGCGTAAAAGAGAAAGACAAATTGCAGTGCCTGCTTCTTAAGGAATATTGTTGACGAATTGTCTTTTTAATATGCGTCGTTGAAAGCAGGGATAATCGATGGAATAGCGTCAGAGAAGGACACCGTACGGAACGTCAAACGTAGAACTCTACCACTGAGGATCGCTGCAGGACGTCCGTTTTCTGGATAGAAGTAATTCACGCGGATGCATCGGGTAGCATGCAAGAACCTCGGCGTCGAGCCTTTATTAATGCACGCGTGAATACACGCTTCTGTTTGACAGGAATAACTGGCGATATTATCGTCGATCGTGCAAGGAGAGAATTATGCAATACGCCTTTGAATATCCACCGACCAGTTTCCAATTTGCATAAACCGTTTCCTGAGGAATGCGAAGAATAGACTTCTACGCGCGGGTGTATTGAATTTAGGGTTATAACGTCGCTACGAAATATATAATGGCAACAAAAAATATAAAGGAAATTAGAAAAATTGAAATTGAGAGGTCGTTCGTAATTAACGGTTAGCAAATCCTGAAAACTGTGAGAAACGACCAGAAAGGTGGTGTGGAAACAGCAACCTGGAATCGTAAACGCGTATTAATATTAATATTAACCCTTTGCACTCGGCTGCCGTCGTAAATCTGGCGAACAGCTCAAATGTTGATACTTTGTCATTGTTCGTCCCGATCGGGGCAAAGATTCGTCCGAAACGCCGCAAAAAAGGCTCGTTTCTCTTATTTGGAGAAAGGAGAAAAGAGAGAAAGGTCGGAAGCGCGAAACATCTGGCAGCAATCAAGGAGCTGTATCTTCGAAACGTCGGCGAATCGCGAAAGAGAACAGAAGTACGAAGAAGAAGAAGAAGAAGAAGAAGAAGAAGAAGTCGAAGAAACATCGCTGGATTGGATGGACGCGAAAAAACGAACCAACGACAGTCCCAATGCTGGATGGAAATGGAAGCACAGTTTATTTAGTGGAAAAAGAAAAGACATGGCTGCACGATTTTTTGCTTCTAAACATAATTTCTTTAAATTGAAACCGAGCAATTGACTCGCATCGAAATCTTCTAATCTCTTATTTTTAGCGGCAATCAAACATCGTTGTACAAATACACCGAATTATAATTACGATAACAAAACTGTAATCTTCAGAGCCTAACGAAGTAGCCGCAAATGAAATGACCGCCATTCTGGATCCAATTATGAACCTCTAAACAAACTCCGCAAAACCCGTCGGGGAAGAACGGTGGCTGAAAAATGGCAGTCGGTGCACCGCGGTTCTTCCCTTTCCTTTCTTTTCGTACGTTCAATCATCCCGTTCGACGCACCGCAATCGTGCGTGATCCGCATGCACACATGCGTGCGAAATAGAACTGACCGCACGCGGCCGAGTGCAACGCACGTGAAGATAAGAGGGCGGCAGTACATCATAGAGACCGGCCCGCATCTCGGAGGGAAAAAAGGGCCCGGGCCCACCAGAAAGGGCAGAGATCTTCGCACTAGATTGATATCCGGACCACACTCGCGTTGCACCACTACGAAACGCATCTACGCGGCTGTAGCGACACACAATACGACTCGGACCCCCCAAAAACGCAAACTGATCCCCTTAGAAAATCCATGAAATTTTTATTAGACTCCAGTGTCCATGGACTATAAATTTTAGACCATAGACTGGTTAATTCGTGACGGGGCAAATTAAAATCCTATCATTCAAAGATAAAGTGAAGTTTCCACAATCTTAGAACAGTAAACATTGTTAGAAGCGGTAAAGCTTTCTCTTTGAAATGGTTTTTGGTTTTTGCCGATCCGACTTTTCGTTTTGGTGATATCGTAATTTATGTAAATGGCAATTTTTTTAATTCGACGCTCGTGAGTCGTGACGTAGCGTTTACTATTTACTACCAGCACGTGCGGTCAACGACCTTGGCAAGGCCGTAGTGAACGTTCATTGACCTCGCGCCGTAAACAAACGCTTCGACCCCTTATATCTCCGAAACTAGCCACCGCATCGACTTGAAACTAAAATCCTCATATCTCCCGAATTAATTACGCTATCGACTCGTACGAACGTTCATTTTGAAGGGCATTTCATCCTCTATCCAATGAACATAACAACAATTATTATTTATGCTGTCTTCTATATTTATTTTGTCATTTACTTTGACGCTACATACCTAAAGAAATTTCAGCAATTCCTATTGATTATACAACTAGTGTGCGACAAAATTAGATCATAAATTGTTTATTTAATTGATAATGGATTTGAATTTGTATACAGGTATACAAATGGTATACGAATGGGTGTACATGAAGTGTCGGCAGATTTAGTACTAATATTGCTTAATAAAAACTTTCTGGTAATGTTTAATTAAGGGAACGTTAAAATTCACCGCAACCAACAAAGTAGCAAAAATGGCGCAATATAACAGCAGGACGCGTAGACGTTGTAACGGAAACAGAACGAAACGGGAATTCGTTTGTTTTCCATTCCTGAAATAGAAGTCCACTGGGAACACGCGCTTGTAATTTCTCACAAAACCCCTTCATCTATTCGTAACTGGTGTTACCTTCGTAAATATCACTGTGGCGTAAAAAGCAAGCATTCGTGGAATCGTTACGCGCTACTGCGTATCTTCTTTTTCCACTCTACGTAAATATAACTATGCTTCTGCGTTCAAAAAATATTTAGAAAAACGTTTTACTTTGATTTACTCACCATGATAGGCCCTCCATCCTTCAGGGAGGCTGAAACCGTGGCACCGAACCACTGAAGCGTTTTATTGTCGATCTGACTTAAACCGCCCGCCACATTTGGATTTCGAGCACGATTGTTCCCTGCAACCAAAGAGACAATTTGTTGTCAGTCATTACGATAACCAGGTCGTTTACTTTTAATTTAGAGATGTCTCTCATTGTCAGAGATATCTTTCTTCTAGTTTTCACAGATATTTTTGTTCGAATACATCCGTACAATCCCTCAACAAATTACGAAACTGAACAAAGTTGCGTTGGTAATTTAAAAACAGCAACGAATCATAAATTGAACGAATCAATTATTTCGAACAATCGCTCTGTTACAAGATCGAGATTTTAATTAAAACCACCCCGAGGATACGCGTTCTTCCAATTTAGTCCAAGATGTATATTCGAAACGTATTCTTTCAATCGTCGTACAAGCGTGCAGCGAAACGAAACGACTTCCAATGAACTACAGTTGCAATGCGTCATCCAAGTATTCCTCTAAAAAACCAGCTTCGAGCAGGTGTCACCGTGGAGAATTCTCGGCAAGTACACCCTGGACTTTTCTTCCTCGATTTTGCGAACGGAATGAACCCGTTAGCCGTATCGGTCAAGCCTGGCCCTTAAAGGGAAGTTGTCCTTCGCTTCCCATCCCTTAATGCGCGAACACTGTTAAAGGCAACGCTCCAACAAGCCTCCCATTCACGACGATATTGCAGCGAACATCATAAAACCGATAACTTACGGGGACAGATTTCGATTCATCTAATTAAAAATTCTACGAGTTTCAATCAAATTCGCATAAATCTATAGTTATAACGTTAATAAAAAATGGACAAAATAGTTGTTCGCGATACCAGGTCCGGAGAAGAAAAATATCGATATCTCCGGGATCGACCGGACGAATCTCCCTAATCGACCGTATCGGCGTGTTCAAATCGACTTCATCGATATACACGCGATCCACGGGCAGGAGTGAAACGGCCTTGCTAATTAAAATCGATGATAAACCGAGAACCCCGTGCGATCCCTAATGGGTATCCAATTATGAATAATCGTCGCCGCACGAGCGAAACTCGTCCGCGTTCATCGCGGCCCAATTATTTTCATCGATTACCGCTCTCATTAAGGGGATGTCAATTAACGGCGCAGGTTCCAGAGATCTCATCGACGCGTCCGACCTTCCCCGAACGTTCCTCAGGTGGCATCCCGCAAGAAATGCCGAACCTTCGACGGGGCAGGGCCGTAGGTAGAACGACCTTACGGTTTTCTGTATTAGGTAGAGCCTGCTTCTTGCATGGACGCCGCGCCGCGCGCCGGGTTCCCGGTATTCTCGAGACGGCCCACCGCGCCACTCCGACACTCTGTGGGGTGTACCTGAAGGAGTTCCTCGAGATGTCTTCGGTCGAGTACCCGAAGAAGTGAGTGACCTCCGAGACCCGCGCACGAGATCTCAGAGTCGCTTCCTCGTACGCAAACGGAATCAAAGATACGGAACGGACAGAGGAGCGCGGTTGGCAGCTGAACGCGTTGCGAGATCTATCGATCCCGGCCACGGAACGGACACGGCATCGGTCCTTACCATGATTTACGCTAACAAAATAATACGATACCTCTCATACGTGTAACGAATATCTATACTTTGCATTTTCTACATTAAACGATGTGAAACGGGGAAGTTGAGGGAAGAAAAATGCTAACAAAAGCTGATTATATCTCTATTAACTTTTCAAGCCCTTGAGATGACTATAGTCATGGCATGTATTCCTCAAAACGACAGAACAATCTATTTTTCTCATAAGTATGTATGTTGGTATTTATATTTACATGTCTGTACTATAATTCCAAAGTTTGTACTAGTTTACTGTATAAATTCGTAAAAAAGGCATCGCCCGTTAAAATGTATTGTTTCAATAATAATAATAGTTATAATTTTTTTTATTTGACTGTGCACATAATGTTTAAATTCCGTCCAGTTGTGTTTACAGTAGATTTAAATCCGTAGTTAGAAGGTTTAAAAAATCCTGATTTATATCAAACAGTCCAAATAGGAAATATTACCATTAAAATGTTGCTTTCTATATTTATTAAATCGTTTCCATTCGACGTATCTTTCATGAGCGTCGAACAGATGTATCACAAATGTTCCAAATAAATCGATTAGATGCAAATAAAACGCAACGATTACCGCGCGACGCTTAATGCAAATTATCGTCCCATTAGAAACAAGCGAGGCGATATGTTCGAGATAATTCCGCGCTTAAAAGGTACACCGAATTCGATGCGAAATGGTCGGCCATCAGCGCGTACGAGGGCAGCAAAACAGTAATGAATGGCCGAGACTATCGAGTACGACTGTAATTGGATAAGATCGAGACAAGATCGAGCATTCGACCGAGCTAATTATCGATCAAAGCGAAGTGTCCGGGCGAGCAACGTTGACTAAGGAAGAGAGCCGACTAATTGGACGTACCGTGAAGCATGATCTTGTGTATATTGTCGGTGAAAACGTTTCTCTATCGTCGCGAGGGCCCTTCTGCGTTAATAAGAACGAGGGAAGAGCGTGGTCGCGACTTTCAGAAGACCATTGTCTCGGCCGAATAAAAACAAATAAAAAAGCATCTCGCCTAAAAAAAAAAAAGTAACTTGACTATTCTCTTTACGATTGAAATTTCCTTAATTCTAACATTGATGTTTATACTCGTCACGTTCGGACGTAAAATTATTGCTGTGCAAACTAACGAAGTGATCACAGTCCTTCGTCGTGGAGTATCCGAGGCGAAAGGAACGCATCTCGGAGAGTACGAGAGGCGGTAATGAATCAATTTTCAAAGCAAACAAGCAGGCAAAGCGGAAAGGCAGCCCCGCGAAGTCACGATCGAGCATGAATTTCCGCGCAGACAACCGTTCAAATTAATAATCATGCGCGCGATACGATCTGCCGGCCGTGGTTCGCGCGAACCGACGCTAATGCGCCGATGCAAATTAGTGGAATCATGCACGGCGCGAATTAGACGTGCTCGCGCACCTCCGCGCCGCTCGTATCGCGACGATCGTGCACGATTCTGGGCCCGTAATTTGTCGGCGCGAAAGTAATTGACTGCTCGAAAGCGATCGGTCGACGATCACCGGCGCCGATTTCGCGTTATCGCGAACGGAGCGCGTTGAACCGAAACCGCGAGGTATCGGATCGAGATAAAGCGCGGATCGAGACGAGCGCAACTTTTCTAGATCTCTCGTTACCGAACATCTTGTTCCTTTCGATATAATCGACCTTAACTCTTAAGTGGAAGTGGACTCTCGGTCTCGACTGAATTATTTTTTAATTTTCCTTTAAAGCATTTAAAACATAATGAACTAATGAAGGATTACATAAATTTTCAAATAATTACATCAGTTTAAATTTGCAGAGGGCTGCAACGGTCTCAATAATCTACTGAAGGGTTAGAAGGATACCTTTGGGTAGCTTAAAAATCGTAAATAGAACGAGCAATCGATATCCACAACTGCGGAATACAAAGCCTTGAAAGATGGAAGGGTCAACGACAGGGTGGGTGGAAAGTCGACAGGAATAGAACGTTCTATAACCAGTCGGCCGGTTACTTCGCAGTTCCTGAGATTACGAAGCTCCTCGGGGGCTCTGACAGCGGGTGGAAAGCGAGAATGTGGGTCAGCGACTGCGAACAGCCCGTGGAACACGAGATACGAGCCCTCGTTAGCAACACTGTGTTCAGGCACCTTTCAAAGCCCACGGCAAGTGCACAACCGAAAGAAAGAACCGGAAAACTGATATCGGATTGAGACCGTGGAGACTGAGAAGAGTTAATCCGTTCGTATTCCCATCGTACAATATGAGACTATGTGCTGCTCGAGATCCCAGAACGTACGAGAATCTCGAAATCCGACCCAGAGGAGACGTTCGAAAATCTCCAACGTAAATTGCAATTTCACCTCGATGAACTTTTTGTTTGGAAAATTTTAACGGTGGATGGAATTTTTGAAGCAACTATGCAATGGCTCGTACCTGAAACAGAGACGTTCTTTTTCGAAAACGATGGTAAATCCTCACCTTTGGTATCGAACTGGATCACCGAGCATCGATCGTCGGCCGCGATGTCGCATTTGTAAACAGCACCGCCTCTGTAGACGCCAGGTTGCTGAGTTTTGGCCTCCGGTGCACCTACGATCGCCCTGCGAAAGGAAACGTCGATGTCACGTGAATGCCACTGGATAATAAAGTCGCGCGAGGCCTTTAAAAGGGCAAATAAAATTTGTACGAGGGAGTTGCATAATTCTGATCCGCTCGTAATATTAACGGGTCATCGTTTCGCGTTCATTATCGCATCGTTAAAGAAAGACGATGATGCGAACGTATTTCCGAGATCGAGGTCAGTGGTCACGAGCTATTTTGAACAGTGGCGCAAGATTCAGTAACTGATCCGACCAACCAACGAGTTATTAAACCAGGTAACACACTTGTTACCGCAAATTTTTATTTGCTCGATGAAATACGGAACGCGACCACGCCGCGATCGTTCCGCTCTAACGAAACTCTAAATCGAGGAAACGCGTGTAATTTCTATTTCGATTAATTAAAAGTGTAAAACATACTGCTATTTCTAACAAATAAGAAAGCTCTTAAACGACAAAAATAAGTTTGTTACAGCGAAATACAGTTGTCCGTGCAAATATTCGCTCAGAAGAAAACTTTCGTCGGGAAAGTTCAAGGTAATCAAGGATGTAATACTTGGATGTGATACAAGGATGTAATCTTTTCTCGAAATAGGAAAATATGCTGCTATTTCTAACAAATAAAAAAAACTCTTAAACGACAAGAATAAGTTTGTTACAGCGAAATACAGTTGTCCGTGCAAATATTCGCTCAGAAAAAATCTTTCGTCGGGAAAGTTCAAGGTAATCAAGGATGTAATACATAGCAAGGTCGACGGTTTGGAAATCTTATGGTTCTCCGAGTTGCTCGTTTACGTACCTATTGCCCAGTCGTTTCGACTCATTAAGAAATTCAACAAGAAATGCTTGCTTCAGAAATTTTTATCGAACAAATTAAATCCAGCGAACTTATACTGGATTTGATCTTCGATTTCCTTCTAGTAATTCTAATGATAGCTTAGTATTGGAGGCACGTAGCGCTTCGTTAGAGAAGTGGGCCAGACGTTAAATCGTAAGTCAATAAACACAATAGACAATTAGCAGACGAGGCGATCGTTAAAATAATTGAACGCGTTGCGGCATTCGTTAAGACGATGCTACTTTTAGGCTCATAATTAAACGATGGTCCGTCTAACAGTACAGATAAGATAATATAAGATACCGCTGCCTTCGCGGAGGTTGATAAATGATGCAAAACGTTTTATCGTCGGGCATGCTCCATGAAGAATACGTCCGTCGAATCTCGTCGGGGACAAAAGACCGTTCTTTGCTTCGAATAAAAGCTATCGATTATTTGTTTCAAAATAAAATTGACGCGATTAAGCGAGTCCCTCCGTACCAATAAAAATAACATTAATTTATACGCGCCGACTCTTTGATTTTAGTTTATAAAGTTTCACTGAAAAGAGAAACTAAATGCTATTGTAATACATCGAATTGCTATACGTTTACTTTTATTCGAATAAAATCGTGTCCGCTTCTGGTCGCGAGACATCGATGCGTGATCGTTCGTCTCGTTACGCTCGACATAAGATGAACTTGAATGCGACTGAGGATCTTTTGTAGGAAACTCCTCCGTCGTCGTTTGAGATGTAAAAAGAAAAAAAAACATCATCGTTTACGGAGCAACCTTGGCATACTCTAGCTTCTAGGCTGCAACGCGACAGGCTGCGTGTAGGTAAAAGTCCCACACGCGTGCAACGCGCCGCGCGTTAAACGCCTGGAAGGAGAGGAGCAACGATTATGCGAGTTATGTAAGCGATTCGTAAGTCTGCGCAACGCGCCGCCGGAATCGCGAACAGTCGCCTCGATGACAATAAACGACAAGGAGCGGCAAATTACACGGATGAATCAATTAACGTGACCGAGACTTTAATCGAGATTTCCACAGGTTTCGTTCCGAGCGGATGGAAGACGTATAATTGGCATCGCGCGGTCGATCGCGCCATAATTAATTACAGGGAAGCAGTCAACCTTTCCTGACGCTTATAAATAATTCAATTTTTTTTTTTGCACGCACATCTTTAAACCGAAAAAAGTGATCGAGACTCGCGATAGCGCGACGCGACCGATTACTTCAATCATGATCCATCGCGATCCAACGTTGGTTCGTTGGTTTTCGAAACAAAAGCAGATCTCGGTCTTAAATCAGTCGTAGTTTACGTATCTCGAACAGGACGCGACTGTTAAAATCGCGAATAGCGGCGTATAGTTATTTCGGAGAGCTTCAAGGCCTAACAATGAAGCATCGAATCGAGAAACCGGGATTCATTTTCGCCGTCCTGACATTACACGAAGCCATTGGCCGACGAAATTCGATACATTTACGACCTCGATGTCCGACTGATTCGCGGACGTGCCGCGTTAATAGCAAACCGTGGGTCGGACCTGACGAGGACTTAAGCTCGCCCACACCATTTTTCTTTTATTTGCATTTTTTTTTCCTGTGTGTAATTTTTTTTTTTTTTTTATTTGCAATCCGTGAGGAACTACAGTCGCCGATATGTGACGCATACACCAGAACGGGAATGCAGGGGCGAACCGGTCCCACAGGATACCGCGAATACAAACGCCTAGGGGTCTCTTTCTTTTCTCTCGCTATCATTATACTTTTTTCCCCCCTGCTCGCGAGACTCGATATTTCCTTTCCATCCGTCTTCGGTGACGCCCTTGTATTACGTGTATTTTACAAATCACAATTTTAATACAACCGACCGATCTTTATCCTCGTTCACAGCCACGTTATCACCTCTCGTAAACGGTATTCGGGTGAGCCAATCTCTCGGTTGTTACAGTAGGCGGCAAAGATGGACCGCCACCAGAGTCAGGTTAACCGAGGACAAGCAACCTGACATCGAGGGAAAGTTGAGCCGAGTTGCATTGATTTACAATGCCAGGTCCAGTTTAAAGAACAATTTAGATGCCTTTTTTATTTGATTGGCACCGACCGGCTGACGATAAAAATGACGGGTTTGAAGCCAGCTGCCATTTAAGTAACTCGATGGGAGTGTCGGGTTTGGAAACAATTCCCTGTTAAGGTAATCGTCGTTGCCTTATTAGTAACTCGAGACAATACACTCCGAAACTCAACAGAAGCTTTTTCTCTCTCTTTGGGTATTTCGTGCGGAGCATTACGAAACCCTATCTCTCTCGAACGACTCGAAACAAAATCGTGCTCCGAACGATCAACATTTTTCGAATTCTTTCCTTCACTTCGAATAAAAAAGTTTACCGGCTAAAAATTGTAAAAAAAAAAACGTTAAAATAAAAAGTGTTGCAGCTCGGATTAAATTTTGATCACGGTATTACGAACTGTACAAACGTATCCCAGGAATAAACTGCATAGTTGCATTCTACGAACAATGCAAATATGCTTGAAATTCGCGGAGCGCGATATCAGTTACAACATAGCTGCGTGTCGTTCGTAAAGAACACTATGTGGCCACGAATGCAGCATTACCTGCACGCCGGGGCGCAACACAGCAGCGTTTTACAGCGAAATTACGAGGAAAATGAAAATACAATTTTTTCTCGGTATTCACGGACCGTACACGGTAGTGCGTCAGTCATGTTCGACTAGTTTAGATTTATTGGATGCCACGACCTTGCTACGTGCTAATGAACGCCTGCAGCTGCATCGACCGACGTGCAGGTGCGGTGATTTAGCGTCTTCTAAATTAGTTCGCGTACACACCTTGTTCGCGAATTTTAATGGAAACCGTCTCGATTCCTTCGAATTCTACCGTAACTCGCGCCCTTATATAAAATTCACTTCCTTCCTGACTGGTTGATCCTAGAACCAGGGATTGGGAAAACTGTTATAATATCACAATGAATCACGAAACTTTTATCGAAACGTTGTTTGTTTCGCCCAAGTAATTAAAAATATTGAAGCAAGATTAAGAAGGTTCTTCGATCGCATTGTTACGAAAACTGTTGAATAACAGTCGTCACAGCTTGGCTAAATAAATTCTGTGAAAAGAACAGCTTCGTAAACGTTAAAGGGGCCACGATAAACACTCGTACAACGTTGAAATAACACACTACCTGACGCTTCTAACAGGCGTCAAGTTGCAAACGACTTCATACAACATCATCGCGTCGAGGAGCACTTCACTCGGAATTTTGATTATGATCTATCGGAGAAAGAGTATTCTTAAATCAATGAGCGCGCAAGGATACTTTCTTCGTGGAACAAGTAGGTGAATAAATCAACAGCGGACACGTATCGCGCGAAAACGCAGGCATTCGCTTCCCTGCGGCAATCAACGTGTAAGGATACATCAATGGATCAATAAATAAGTCAGTCAACCTTTCCGTCCGGACAAGGATTGATCAGAAAATTATATCCTGCACATTATACAATTTTCCTTCTACGTTGTCTGCGTTTAAATATTCGTATCTTCGACGCTAATAAATACAGCATTCGTTCTTCCTGCTCAGCCGCCCCGAAGAAAATAGCAATATGAAAACTAGCTTTCATATTCGATATATTTAAAAATTGCCATGTACTAGATTATCCTCCTTCATAGGCTTCTAGAAAGATATTATTATTTAAATCTCGTTTTGGTATAGAAATTTTTTCTTCGTAATACTATAGTTTAAAAAAGTTTTCAGTATCAGGGGAAACAAACTAGCTTTAAGAAAATGTTTCGTTCATTGCGTTCTGATCTCTACGATGGCTGAACATCAACTATAATTACATCGTCAGACAGGGTTAAAAGATTTAACTACTATTTAATAGAAGATAATAAAAAATGAACTAAAAAAATATTTTCGTACAGTTTAAAGATCTCCTTTCGTGTCCCTAAAAGTCTAGTAGAATAGAACTTTTAATTCCTTACGAAAAAAAAAAATAAAAAAGGAAACTTAAAACTTTAACGCAGTTACACGAGAATCCCCCCTTGAGCTTTCTAATGGCCGCTTCCCATGCATGGAGAAATGGATTAAAAAAATATTTTCGTACAGTTTAAAGCTCTCTCTTCGTATCCCTAAAAGTTTAGTAGAATAGAACTTTTAAT